TGATAACTGATGCAGGGTCTGCTCCGTGGAGCACAGTGTGGCAAGTGCTTTACAGAGGGATCTTACGATATTTTCATCAAGAGGTGGGATTAGCCCTGGCTGGTTTGGCTCAGTGAATAGAGCATCAGCCCGCAGACTGAAGGGTCCTGAGTTCAATTGCAGCCAAGGGCACGGACCCAGGTTGCAGGTTCACCCCCGCACTGTGAGCTCATTAAACCACCCCGTTAATCCTCTGAGGAAGTGCACCCCACTGAGGGAGTGGGAAGTGTCCTCACAAAGGCATCATGGGATGAGGGTCCCACGGCCAGAGTCACATAGATGAGTTCAGACTGGGTTCTCCTGAAATGTAGAGGAAGGGCTGGGGCAGATGAAAGCAAAGGCCCAGGCCACTGACAAAACTAACGGAGCGCGATGGAGAGCCTGGGCTGAGCGAGGGGCTGACGGGAAACTCACCGGGGCAGGAGAGCAGCTCTGCACAGCTGGAGATGCATCTGCAAGGGAGAAGATTCTACCATTTGTTCACTCCCAGCTCCAGGGGTCATGTCTACACACACACACATACACAGCTACACATGTATACCCACATAACGCACACGTGTGCACACACTAATGCATGAAATACTCACATATACACATTCACACGTACATGCACACAAACATCCAACCTACTCATGTGCACATGTGCACAAACAACATAGAAACCACACAGATATACACATGCTTACTCAAACAGTGCACACATTGTACTCGTTCTGAACGTGTACATGGATGTGTTCACATGAATATGTGCCCGGTTACATGTGCAGACATGCACACAGCACCCATGTGTGCACACACCACATGCCTGCATCCCATACTCATGTAAACATTTACAGACAGAACACACAGACCACCCCACCCCCCACCAACACCATTTTCTTTCCCGGGTTGATTACCTGTCACCACTTCTTCAGCTTTCTTAGAAGAATGGGAGCTGAGAGAGAGAAACAGTGAGGTATTGGAGATCAAGGAAGTTGGGGGGGAGAAATCAAGATCCTGTGTGGGAGGAGGTGAGACGCAAAGAAAGTCACCCAAGTCTCCCCACCTCCTCCCAGCTCAGACGCCCCACCCTCGGGTCTCCAAGTCCTCATATGCTCAGGAAGGTCTTGAGGGCCAAGGAGAAGGAAGTGGTTGGGGACAGCAAGGCCATGAGGAAAGAATCCAAGGAAAGGACATTGAGTGGGAAGTGGAGGAGGGTGGTAAGAAGAGAGAACATACAGATTCGGGCTGGTCGTGGGAGCTGGGCTGAGGCACATAAAAGGTTGATGTAACAAAGAAGAGTAAGTAGCCCAGGGAGCGAGGGAGGACCAGTGAAGTGTTGGCTGGTGGGGTTCTCTGAGTGGCCTACCTTTTGGTCATCTTTTTAAGAGCTGCCCCTGGGGATGAAAAAGAGAAGGGGAGGAATGAACGCTGTGGTGTCAGCTTTGTCATTATGTTTCCCCCACTGCCCCCAGAAGACTCAGCCACTGTCCTGACTCACCACAGCAGGTGTACTTGCAGATGAGGAAGGCTGTGAGGAGGAAGAGTAGGGGGACGATGACAATGAGGATGATTTCCGTGGTTCCTGTGAGGGGAGAGCAGGGGGGAGGCCCCGTTGGTTTCCCGAGACCTGTTCTGATGCCTAACCACGTCTCCCATTGATGGTGTTCCTGGGACATGCTGGAAACTCACTACCCTTCTCTCCTACTCACAAGTATCCCGGGAGAGAGAAAGAATGATGCCCATCTTACAGAGGCACAAGCTGAGGGCCAGAGAGTTGAAAGGTTTCCAAAGGCACCCAACTACCGAGTACCCACAGCTGGGACTCCAACCCCACCCACCTCAAAAGACATTGCATTGAACCACAATCTTCTGGCATCACCAGAATATAGAGAAACATCCCCGAGGACGTTCCCAGCAATACAGCGCTCTCGGGGAGCCGCATCCCGTGTTTGAAGGACTCTATCCCAGGAGGGTCTCTTCACTTACCTAGTGCCGCTCCTGCTCCCTTAGGAGACTCCGTTTCATCTAGAAGACAGAATTCCAAGTCGCAGAACAGCCATCACAGTATACCATTGGTGTGTAATTTTTAAAAGTCTATATCACAGGTGTGCCTGTATTGTAAGCGTATTAAAAACATGCACACAAATAACACCAAGGTCAGGGTGCACGTTTCCACCGGAGGGGGCGAGATCACAGGCATGGTGTGGGGAGGAAAAGAGGACTTCATTTGTGGGAAGAAAGCAACTTGTAGCAAATATGACTAAATGGGGACGAGTGTCGTTCTGGGTGGTGATGCATGACTATCTGTTATCTTATTATTTCTATTCTGTTAGGTAGTATTTTTCAAATTTCCAAAAGGAAACAAATATAGGATATATAGTATGTTATATTGTATATAGGATATATGCTATATATTGCAATAATTATAACTGAGATAATCTCTCTGTGTGAATATATGTATATATAATATATATCATAGCCCTGGTCAGTTAGCTCAGTTGGTTAAAGCACATCCCAATATACCATGGTTGTGGGTTTAATCCCCAGTCAGGTCACATACAAGAATCAACCAGTGAGTGCATGAGTGAAACACAAATCAGTGTTTCACTCTCTCCTTTTCCTCTCTCTCTCTCAAATCAATAAGTAAAAATATAAAAATTTTAACCATATATATGTGGG